ATAAAAAGTCAAGCTGCCAACTGAGAAAATATCACTGGAAACCACATGTCTATAAAAATCTAATAACAAAAATATATTTAACTTCAACAACTTAACAACAGAAAACAGCTAATCTAATCATAAATGAGTTCAGGACTTGAGTAGCTATTTCATCAAAGAGACATTCTAATTGCCACCAAACACAGTAAGTGAGTCTCAGCTTCGTTACCATTAGACTGTTGCAAATCAATACCATAAGGAGATACCATTATAGTCCCATGAGAATGACTAAGAAAAAAAAAAGAATGACTAAGATAATAATATGAAAATAAGCTTTGTTGTGGATGGACAAAATTGGAATCCGTCCATTGCTTGTGGGAATGCAAAATGATATGTCCATTGTGGAAAATAGTGTGGCAGTTCCTCAAAGCACTAAAATATGACTATCGTGTGACCTAGCAATTCTGCTCCTCCTGTGTACGCAGAAGACTTGAAAGCAGAAACTCAAAAGAGAAATGTGTGTGCCATTGTCCATTTCAGGCTATTCACAATAGCCAAAAGGCGGAAGCAACCTGAACGCTCATTAACACGTGAATGGATAAACACAGTGTGGTATGTACATACAATGGAACACCACTTAGCCAGGAGGAGACATGAAGTCGGGTTGCATCCTTCAGTATGGATGGAGTTTGAAGACATTATGCTGAGTGAAAGAAGTCAATCACCAAAAAAACAACTATTCTATGACTTCATTTAAATAAAAAGACAAGACAATGTTTATTAGTGGTAACTAAGGGTGGCACAGATGGAATAAGCATGAGTTATTGGTGATGGAAAGATCATGCTATTAAGGGTGGAGTTGCTTGGCCCATTCTTGAAACTACTACTATCCATGAGTTCTACACCTGTTAAGATTTTTTTTTTAATCAGCAAAAGTGTGATACGTATATTTACAACAATGACAAAAAGAAAAATAAGCAAATAGTAGCTGCTGAAGCTGCTACCGTGTTTCCCCGAAAGTAAGACATCCCCCCAAAATAAGACCTACTTACAGTTTGGCCTCTCGCTGCAATATAAGGCATCCCCCTGAAAATAAGCCTTCCCCCAAAACAAGGCCCCCCGAAGCTACTGTAACTCTGGACTCTGGACCTTACTGGCGGGCGCCACCACACAGCTCACTGTTGGCTGCAGCGCAGTCAGAGCAGACAGGAAGTGTGAGGTCTCTTTTAATAAAACAATAAACAGTAAATGTGTACCGTATTCTTCTTCATGGAAAAATAAGACATCCCCTGATAATAAGACCTAGCACATTTTTGGGAGCAAAAATTAATATAAGACACTGTCTTATTTGGGGGGAAACGGGGTAATAAATAACCAAACACCGTAAGATTTTGTTCCTCGGTTGGAAGTTTTGGATCCTGGTTTCATGGGGTATCCCAGTTAATTGCCCTAATTACGTGTCTGATGCTTCTATTACACTTGCTGGGTCATTGTGTAGTTAGTGCCTGGGATCCTAAATGCTGGCAAGCAGCCATTCAAAGCACAATGGGTCTCTGTTGTTCATGGAACAGCAAAGGAAGGAGACATGAAAAAAATAATAATTTACAAATTGTCAAGGATTAATTAGGGAGGGAAAGTGAGGGAGTGGAAGGAAATGAGCTGATACCAAGGGCTCAAGTAGAAAGAAAATGTTTTGAGAATGATGATGGCAACATATGTTCAAAGGTGCTTGACACCATGAATGTATGCTTGGATTGTGATAAGAGCTGTAAGAGCCCCAGTAGGAAGAGGATATGAGATGTGTGGCTAAATTGCCTTCATGAACAACTGCCTCCTTAACTATGAAACCAGAAGGACTGAATAATGTCCAGCTATTTTACTAAACATTTTGATTAAAAAAATTCCTTAGAAGAATCTTAATTAAAGGGTGAAAATGCAGAGCTTATCCAGACTTTTTGGAGGGTCGATGAACCCTTGAAACTGTGGCCCTGAGATTATCTTTAGACCGAAACCCAACACTATCCCTGTAAGACTTCCTAAAACTAAACAAGAGTTTAACCTAACTAGAAAAAAAGGTTTGCCTTGAGCATTATACTCTTAAACTCTATCTGTGTGGGATCAAATGCACAATGGCAACTCAAAAGATTAGGAACCAGTGAGTTTACATTCACAAAGGAGGACTCAGAAGAGAAGCGTTAGAATGGCTGTATTGCTTGAATGTAATCAATGTCATAAAATAATACATGTAGAAACAGATGGATTGATGTATACTTTGCTGTGTATATTTTCAACAACAACAAAAATAAAACTTAAAGGAAAAAGGACTCTAGGCATATCAATTTCAACTCTCCACTGGTACCTTTAATACATGAATCTATCATTTTTCATAACAACATAAAATACCCCAATCCATGGATCTCAAGAATATAAAATATTTGTTTTATTAAGGTGAAGCTTTTTAAAATTAATTTTATTAACAGTTTAATGGCATATAATTCATATGTATCACATATTTCAATAGTTTAATCGTATTAAAAAGAGTTGTACAAGCATCACACCACAATCAATTTCAGAACATTTTCTTCTTTCTTGTACTCATTATTATTAACTCTCCATTTCCCCCCAACGTTCTGTGCTATAAACCCAAAAAACCATTAATCCAGTTACTGTCTCTATAGGTTTACCTATCCTGGATTTTAAGTGGAGAAAAACATACAAAACAAAACCAACAACAACAACAACAAAGTAAATCAGAGAAAAACCTCAATCGAAAAGAAAGCAGAAAATATTAAAAGTTAGAACAAATTTAAAATAGGTCAGAGAGGAGATCAAATAATAAGATATAAGAAGATACCAAAAAATGGAATTTTTTTTCAGAATTATGTATGTAAATTTTTTAAATCAAACAACCTTGTTGCCTTCAAAGTACTATCCAGTACACTTAATACATTTGTCAAATCTGGGATTCCATTCTTGGAAACAGTTTTCAAACTCATTTGTTTGACAACACCTGCCCCTTTTTCTTCACCCTTTCTCCGTCCTCAAATCACTGCCCTTTCATGTCCCACTCATTCACGGAAACAATGTGGGGTAAGGTCAGGTGAGTAAGGTGCATGGGGCAAGAGAGGCATGCTATTTTTTGCAAAAAACTGGCACACTGCAATGGCTGTGTGAGTAGGTCCATTGTTGTGGTGGCAAAACCAGTCCCCCATCTACCACAAATGAGGCCTCTTTTTGTTGCACACTGTTATGCGATGTTTTCAGAACCTCTGCCTACAAGTCAACATTTCCGTCTTTTCAGGAAGTTGGCAGACATCCAGAACAAAGTTTGCCATCAATCAACATTTCACCATTTTTGAAATGAGAAAACCACTCATACACTTGAGTTTTTCCTATAGTGCTGTCCTTGTAAACTGTGTTCAACATCACAACAGTTTCTGCAGCATTTTTCCAGAGCAGGAAACAAAATTTCACATGATGCATGCAATCTTAAATTGACCATCACAAAAAATGAGGTTCAAGTGAAACTGCTTTTACGAAAAATTCACTGTGACATGAAAGAACTTCCAGGTGACATCACTGGGTGCACTAACTCAGAGCAAGTTGCTCTATCCTCTTGTGGTGGGGAAAATGCGTACTATAAAATTCTGTCAGGGGAGCTTTTTTCCTTTTTAATGGGGGTACCCCCTCACATCTACCATAATGGACTTCACAATGCTCTCTGTCTGATAACAAGGCTATTTATATCCCCTGACAATGATCAGAAGGGATTCGCCAGAGGTTTAATCCAGGGGTCCTCAAACTTTTTAAACAGGGGCCAGTTCACAGTCCCTCCGACCGTTGGAGGGCCAGGCTATAGTTTTAAAAAAAACTATGAACAAATTCCTACGCACACTGCACATATTTTATTTTGAAGTAGGACAAGCAGCGGCAGCAAAAACACCTGGCAGGCCGGATAAATGTCCTTGGCGGGCTGCATGTGGCCCACAGGCCATAGTTTGAGGACCCTTGGTTTAATCCATGTGTGGTCCCTGCAAATATTTAGGCTTCCACTGTCATCCATAGCCTTCGGTAAACCAGATGTTCACAATTTAAGCCCTGATACCTTCCCTCCTTCATGTTTGGATTTTATTATTTACAATCCTTGGATCACACAGGCTGCTGTGCTGCTTCCATGTGGTCTTAGCTGATGCATTACTTAGATAGATGCTTGTTTGAAGACAAGCCTTTAAGACCAGAAATGCCATTCTTCCTGATAGCCAGGCACCATCTGGTTTCTTTATCACACTTTGCTACAGCAGCCATATCTTCAATGATCTCTTCATGAGCAAAATAAAACTAATTATTTTTAGATTTGGGCTAGAATTAAGTGTGAGTAGGGTGAATTTTTAACACTACAAACAGTTTATTAAAATTCTTCTTTCAAGTTTGAAAAGTTAGTTGGGTTATGCAATATCATTCTCATTTGCATAGAGTTGCTGTGGGTTGGAATTGACTTCACAGCACCTAACAATAATAGCAACAAGGTGACAGGTTTAGAAATAATTTATTTCTTATAAAGTCTGACCTAGAGAATATTGTGGGATTTAAATTCTTAAATACAACACCATGTACTTACATTCTGCTGATGTTTTTAATTGACACATTAACATACTTTTTAAAGCTTAAAAAAAGAGAGAGGATTCCATAATTCCTTATATAACCTATTCTATACCCAGGTGAGCCTCTGTACATGTGCTAAAAGTTGCCAGTGGTATTGGTTTCACATCCCTTACTACAAACCACTCATTTATGTGAAATGGAAATAAACAAGCAGAAATTCCCTTGGATCTGAGAGTAGGATTTCCCCTGGGACAACCAAGTGTGTGGTCAGTTTTGTTACATTAGCTAAGAACTTCAGCCAATCATAGTGAGGAGGGAAATGGATTTCCTAAATAAATATGCTTCCCCAAAGCATGTTCTCCTAAGAATTTCTGAGGCGTGAAGTCCAATACGAGAGTGACTCACTCAGCCTTCATACCTTCACTATGAAAAAATGTGGTGTGCTTCTCCTGTTGGGTATCATCTTCCTGGTTCTGGTTGGAGTTCAAGGTAAGGAAATCTGCATTAGATTAGAAGAGTCAAGTCAATTGTTATGTAAAGTGAATTATTATGAAAGCCTCCTGGTTCACCCAAGAAAGGGGAATGTTCTGCATACTCGGAAAGTGTTATGGGTCACTTACAAAAGCGTTCTCTGATGACGTGGCTAATTATACAAAGTTCATACCTGGAACTTGCTAAAGCAAACACAAGTCTTCTCAGTGCAGGTGTGCGAATTCCTGACAGAAAATGTTCAATAAATGCTGATTGGTCTGGGTGTTACCGAGATGAAAGAATGTCTCTTCAATGTGTTTTATCACCCTGATATTGTTTCTTGATAAGTATGTCTGTGATAACTGGTTAAGAATCCAGTCATGAAGGAGGCTCCTAATCTGCTTACTAACAGCTTGGTTAAACCCAAAACTCACTGCCATTGAGTTGATTGATGCCCACTACCAACTTTATAAGTCTACAGGGTAGACTTGCCCGTGTAAGTTCCAGGGACTGTAACTCTTTACAGGAGTAGAAAGCCCATCTTTCTCCTGAGGAGCGGCTGGTAGCTTCGAACTACTGACCTTGCCACAGCTTGATGACCCTGGGGAAATTACTTAATCTTTCTAAACCTCAGCTTCCCCATCTTTAAAATGAAGGTGTTATATTTATACCTTCTCTACTTAGCACAGAAATTATGGCATGTAGTAAGCATGAGTAAATTATATATTGAAGGAATACAGATCGTGAACTGTCAAAAGTGTAAAGCACTGTACAAAAACAAGGCTGTGGGACATGAGCAATACAGAGAGTAGTCGTAACTGGTTAGTATAAATAGAGATTTCTGCTCAAACCAATACCAACTATATTGCACTAAATGCAGGTGATTAGTGAATGCTCAGGGCTTCGGGAATTGCTGAAGACACCAAGGCCTGTGTAGCACACATGAATTTGCACTCCAGGTTTCTGTGTGTCTGACCTGTGAGAGTATTAAGTCTTGTAAAGATCTCTTTTCCTCCTAGGGTTTTAAAGTAAAGTGGTTGCGAGCGAGGCCTCTGGACTCAGAGAGACCAGAGCTGAAACCCTGACTCCACCCTCATCAAGCTATGTGATCTGGTTCTTGACTTAACCTCTCTGAACTTAGATAATGAATCGCAGTATCTAAAAAACTGAAGCTAATACCTGCTTTGGAAGTTTGTGGATATAATGTACAGAATCTAAGTCAAGGATAGTACTGGTTATTATTAAGTCAAATGCATCATGTTCTAGATCTCCTATATTGAGCCATGGCCTACACCCATGTGCTCTACCTTTTCTGTTCAAAAATCTGTTGCTGTCAAGGTCATTCCAACTCACGGCAACCCCATGTGTTCCAGAGGAGTCCATGGACAGTTGTTTCGCTATGTATGGAACCAGATCACCAGGCCTCTCTTCCGAGGTGCCGGGGGGAAGGATTCAAACCGCCAGCTCTTGTTTATCAGTCGTTCTGCTCTTCCTGTAGGGATTCTGATGGGCCTGCGTGGACGTTGCTCCTGCATTGAAACTAGCCACAAGAAGATACCATTACGATCCTTAAAATATCTTAAACAATTTGCTCCAAGCGTTTCTTGTGAAAATACTGAAATCATGTAAGTAAGAACCCATCCAACATGCCTGGGCCACATTAGAAGGGGCATCAAGCTTGCTGTGAATATTAAATTTAGAGTGCTTTCCCACAGACATATGCACTTACAATCCAGAGGCCGAGGCCCTCCACAAACCTAGACAGGGCCCTTCTTTTCTTCTCCTGAAAACCGAGGGATTTTCTAGGAGAAATCAGGAACTAAGATGATTCATTACCAAAGGAATACATGTTGCTTATAGAAAATGTTTAATGAAGATAAACCAAAAGAAGGTAAAATCACTTTGAATCCTATCATCCTATAGCAAATACCCTTGGTGTGTAGTCTTCCAAACCGCCCTTGTTTGAGAGATAGACAAGGGAGCTTCAAAAGTTCATGGAAAAATGAAATTGAAAAATAGTGGAATTTTTCCATCAACTTTTTAAAGTCCCTTTGTATGTATGTGTTGTCATATATTATATTATTTTGTAAAATCTGGTTTCAGTAATATATGCAGGTTTTCTCATATCAGTAAGTCTTCTCTAAGAGCGTCATTTTTTGTAGTCCATTGTATGGATGTACCATAATTTCTATAACAAACCTCCTATTGTTGGAAATGTAGACTATTTCTACATTTTTGTGATTGCAATCAAACTGCTTTTATAGTATTATTTTTTTTCCTATTAATACCTATCTAGAAATAGAATTTCTAGGTTAAAGAGTATGCATATTTTAAGTCTTTTGATACCTAAATTACAGATGATATTTACAGCACTTGTTCTCATTCTCAGATTCTCTAGAGATGGGTTTTTTGTTTGGTTGGTTGGTGGATTTTTGTTTTTGTTCTTTAAATTAGTTCTGAAAGGTCTGCTGTAAGTAATTTTTAAAATTCAATCAGCATCTTTATCTTGTCTTAGGAAAACATTTAATTACATTTTAAGTGTTTTCATTGGAAAATACATTCTTTTATTATTTCTGCAAAAAGTATAGTTATATTGACAACTTGAAATTTTTCTCCCAAATTTGAATGTAAATAATTATTCCCAAGCAGGATAAAGCCAATATTGTCCTGCAGATATGTCTCCTAAATCTATGTATCAGATGGATTCTTCAAAATTTAGGTTTGTGTGCTCTCCTGGCAATCCATCTCAGGTTCCTCACTCCTTTAGAAAATGAGAAGAAAGGGAAAAGAATGAAGGAGTCACTTCTAGTGTTGATGCAAATACATTCTAACGGGGGGCTGAATTTGGGGGGAGATAGAAAGCATTTACATTCTTAAAAGAAAAAAAATATCTTGTTGCTATTTTGTTGGCAGTGCTACCTTGAAGAATGGACATCAAACTTGTTTAAACCCAGATTTAGCACATGTGAAGAAATTGGTGAAAAACTGGGAGAAACAGGTTGGTGCAAAGAGAAACAAAACTTTCTTTTAGAAATTTTTTTGGAATTCAGAGAATCTGTATAGCTTCTTTAAGGATGCAGTTGGAGTTGATTTTATTATACTCTTATTTTCTTTCCTGCAATGACAGTTTTACCTTGTAGGATAACTGTACCCCTGCCTACATTACCATTTGTCTGTCTTCCCCACTAAAACGTGTGTTCCATGAGGGCAGGGAGCTGGTCGCTGTAATTCACCTAATAAATACTTAGTGAATTACATGGTGAACACTGAAGCTTGAAGCATAATAAGATACAGACCAACAATGTGCAATGTGAGAAATCTAAAATAAATACGTACAAGAATATTGAAGATTACAGAGGAAGGAGTCATTTGCCTGTGAGGCAGGGAGAAAGTTCCAGAGGAAGCTTCTCAGATCAGATGGCATTGGATGTGGGTGGTGAAGGGTAAGTAGCTCCCTGTGAGGGTCATAACAGTGTGAACAAGAGTAGAGTAATACTTGTTGTGTTGAGGGAGACTCAAGTTTGCAGGGAAGGATTGAAGGGATGTACTGGTTTCCTACGGCATCTTTAACAAATTACCCACAAAGTGGGTGATATTTCCCGTCTCTATGTTCTGGCTGCTAGCAATCCAAACCCAGTTCTCAACAGGACCGTGCTTCCTCTTTCTGCGCTCAGTCCATTTGTCTCTTGCAGCTTCTGGAGGCCCAGACAAGGCTTAGCATTTCTTGGCTTGTAGATGTATCTTCGTATTGCAGGGTCCCCCCTCACCCCACCCCTCACCCCACCCACCCTGTCTCTGTCTCTGTGTTTCTTGTCTTATAAAGACAACGGTCAACTTACATTGCACTCAACTGGATGGCAATGAGTTTGGTTTGTTGTTGTTTTGCCACCTTGCGTGATCTCATATTAACTTAACTCATTAAGTCTGTCATTTCCAAACAAAATCACATCGACAGGTATCAGGAGTTGGAACGTCAACATTTCTTTTGAGTGGGGAGGGGACAATTCAATCCATAACAAACTAAAAAAGTAGACCAGTGTGGAAAGAATCCTACATGCCAGGCTAAAATGTTACAAAGAGGTCCAGGAATGGTCCTGTCTATCTTCCCCACTAGCGTGTGTATTTCATAAGGCCAGGGAGCTGGTCTTTCTTATTTAATCCAGGAAATACATAGTGAATGGAGTGACAGACACTAAGGATACATCGGTAATAAGATATGGTCCCTTTCCTCAGTAGCAAATAAATATGTTCACATTGCAATGTGAGATACATAAAATAAGGAGGAGTTGTTAGGAGCGTGGGTTCTAAAATAACCAACACCTGTTTCTGCCGAATGCTCGCTGTACATTGGGAAAGAAAGTCACTCATCAAAGCTTGTCCAAAGTGGATGATCCAAGTACCAACCTCAGAGGTTTGCTTCTGGGGCAAGGCAGGAGTCAGCGTGTCTGCAGCGACGAGAAGATTAAGAAGAAAAGGCACAAGGCTAGGAAGGTTGCTGCCGCCTCCTCAAAGGGAACTAAGTAAATTAGAAAGAGCTCCTTTAGAGACGTTGGACCGTGTGAGACATGACAAAATAACAATAATTTATAAATTATCAGGGGTTCCTGAGGGAGAGGGGCAGGGAGGGAGGGGAAAATGAGCTGATACCAAGGGCTCAAGTAGAAAGCACATGTTTTGAGAATGATGATGGCAACAAATGTACGAATGTGCTTGACACAATGGATGGATGGATGGATGGATTGTGATAAGAGTTGTACGAGCTCCCAATAAAATAATTTTTAAAAACAGAAAGAAAGGAGCTCCTTTAAATGCTAATTAACTTTAAGCCAGTTTAAAGATTAAAAGAGATCACAGTCAGGAGACTCCAAATACAATACAAAGATGAACAAATATTAAGGTAAAGAAGCATCTTTTTCCCTCCTCCCTCTCTTCACAGGTCAGCCAAAAGAAAAAGCAGAAGAAAGGAGGGAAACATCCAAAAAACAAGAAAGTGAAAAAAGACAGAAAATCTCCACGCCCATTTGGAAAGAAGACCACCCCGTAAGAGGACACTTCACCAACAAAGACTTCGTATTAAAACGTGGGTGTTTTCTTAAAGTGGAGTGAAGTACTTCCCAGAGTGAAAAGTGTCGAATGCATAACAAGCACGTTAATTTGACTAGAAAGTGTAAACAGGATTGTGAACTTGGAACTAAAGTTAGAAAGCTGCTTCTCAGCTCCCAGTGGTAGGAATTGGTAGACACTGTTGTTTGTTTTTGTTCTTCTACCCGCAACCTACTGAATTTCATCATGCTTAAGATCACATTTAATAAAACCCACACCAGGACAGAGCCCCCCCCCCCCCCCACATCCCCCGCACAACAGCTGCCTAGGAGAGTACTCCTACACTTCCTGGGCCACACACTGCAGCCTTCGGAAAGTGTTCTGAGGCCGCTGTCAGCAAAGCCCCACCCGTCAGCATGCCCATGAACCTCGCAGTGTGGGACGGAGCTGACCTCGCCAAGCTGCTGAAGCCCTCAGTCTCTGGGATGCAGTCTGCCTACAGGCCTCACACACAACGTGCCTGAGAGATCTGTTGTTTCTGAGGAGCTTCGTCTTTCCCAGCCTTTTATCTGACTCTGCCTTGCCTGTCCAGGTTCACCGCTTCACTTCGCATTGTTCCTCTTAGCTTCAGGCAAGCCAGTCACATCATCCTGTCACAAGTCACAGCCTGTGTCCTCTCCACGGTCCATCCCAGGCTCTCCTTTATCTGGGTCTCCTCCTTCGCACCCTCTGCCCACCCCCAGGCCTATCTTCCTCTCTCCACCCAGCCCCACTTGATGCAGTCTTCAAGGTTTAGTTCAAGGTCTGTTTCTTAAACAAAACCTTTCAGGACACTTGAATTGTCCTAAGACTTTTATTTCACTTGTGTTCATGACCCCTCAGTGGACGTGTAATTGTTAACTAATTGATTTCCGTTTTTATTCTCTCCCTCTCCAACCAGATTGTCAGCTCCTGGAGGCCAGGCACCAAATTATATAGATGACTAAATCCGCCCAATGCCAAATATGAGACGACTTCAAAGAGTTTGTGGGAAATCCCATTATCTTTTCCTTTCATTTTCCATGAATTTTTCAAAGTTCCTTTTTATACGGTGGATCTAGATTTAGAACAATTGCTTAATTGTAATTGACCCAGTTAGCAGGGTAACCCAACCACCTCTACAGAGCAGGAGCGGATTATGTGTGGGCTACTTCACGCTCTCTAACCTCTGGTAACCTCTCTCTCTCTTCTTCAGGCCAGTGTCACAGCGGTGTGGCAACACCCTCATTTGATTATGACAGGATGTTTACTTAGCTTCCTTAGCAGATAAGAAGCATATGTTCACAGTATATTTGGGACTTTCTTTAAAATACCGAGGACACCTAAAATCATCAGGTCTGATGATGAAAAGGGGTGTTAGAGATCAGATGACCCGGTATCTGGTCTTTCGTTGCCCGGTACAAAGAGGTCAATACCGTTCCTGACAAGTGTGATCTGACGAGATAGGCTCCAAAATCTCTTGGGAAATTCATTTCAGGCCAGAATCAGTTTCATTGTCGAATTAACTTCTTTCCCAGTCTTCAAGGAATGGTGGTTATCAGTGGCTATCCCAGCTCCCGGGAAGCAAGGGGGCTGGAGGACACCAAGACCTGGAAGAGCATGGCAGCCCTGCGAGGCCCTGCAGGAGTCGGAAGCCTCCTCTAAAAGAAGGGCTTCAGGGGATGCATGAGGAGAGGTGTCACTGGCCAGACTTGAAACCTGAATACTAACTTTGCCAGATTTTGCTGCTCTCCCTCAGGATGCAGATAATTTTCATCACTTCCCAGTGGGGATCTCACCCCAGCCTCTTGTCTAATTATCTAAGACTCTGCTACTTCTGTGTAAACCCCCTCCCCGCTGCAAACTCTAACTGCTGCAGAATTTGAGAGTCTGTGGCCCCATTACTATACAGTACACAAGTAAAGCAGATAATATAGAACTAATAACCTAGGCTCATACCTTAGTAGTACACATATGTATGACACATATGTATCATACATACATATACAGATGATACATATCCAAATGTATGTACCTATATAAACATTATATGGAGCCCTGATAGCTCAGTGGTCAGGTGCTTGCTTACTAACCCAAAGGCTAACAGTTTGAAACCACTAGTGATCTCTGGGAGAAAGAGGTGTCAGGCTGCTTCTGTGGTGATCACAGCTTTAGAAACTTGATGGAGCCGACCTACTCTGTCCAAAGGGTCACTATGAGTCAGTCAACTCAATGGTTCACAACAGCAATAACGTGCATTATAATCCCTTGTCATTTGTGTATGCATGAATATCTTCTAAGCAAACAACTATTAAATTCAAAGTAGTATTGACATATATATCTCGCACTTGGAATTTTTTGTTTGTTTAAAAGAATGGTATCATTAAGTGGAACCTTACTCAAAAAATACATTTAAATCTTGATTTCTACCCCCTTTGGGAATAGGTTTTTCTATGAAAAATATTAAGCACTGCTTTATAACAACATTGACTTGGAAGAGGTATGTGTCATGAGCTTTATTTTCTCATTTTCAAGAGTCATGCTATTCAAGTGAGATATACACCCTACCCCCCCGCAAAAAAATATCTCTCCGTCATCACCTAAAATTATATGTGTAGAGAAATGTTAGAAAAACCTCAAGTAGTTATGGTGGTGACCGAAACATAAGGTATTTAAGAGTCCAGAAAAGTTGTCCTGGAGACTGTATGCAGTGTAACACCTCACTGATTGAGGCTGGACCAGGCAGCTGTGATATCTGGACTCCTACATCACAGCCACTGATGGAGACTACCCACAGAGCCTAACCTCCGAGGCCAGAGGTGGCATGGGAAGGGCTAAGCTTCGGAGATGTCTGGGATTACGGGCTCATCCCTTATTAGCTGCATGAGCTTGGTTGAAGTACTCTGGTGAAGGTCCGTGTGAGTCAGTTTTCTCCGTCAGGGTTGCTGTGAGGGTCAGGTGCAGCATTGACCTCAATGTCGGTCCCAGCCATCTCCGACCGCTCGCCTCGGCAGCACCTACTCACAACAGGGGCTGGTCCACATCTCAGAAGCAGAAGTGTTTCCAGAACTGGGCAAATCACCTGGAGATATGAGACCAAATGCTTCTCGGACCGGTTCTCAGCATCGGCATTTATATCATCTTGCCTGGGCTGTCCCCGTCCTTCCTTGGACTACCTCAGTAGGCAGCTGCTGTGTCCCCTGCTGCTTCTTCGCCTCGAGTCACCTCGTGTTCTCTGCTGTTCATTTTTTGCACGGCAGCCAGAATGGTCCTGTTAGAGCAGTGGTTCTCAACCTGTGAGTCTTGACCACTTTGGGAGTCGAACCACCCTTTCACAGGGGTCACCAAAGACCATCGGAAAACACATATTTCCGTGGTCGTAGGAACCGAGACATCGCTCCTCTATCCATCTCCAGGCGGGTCTGCTCGCATGCAGATAGGCCCACATACAAGTACCCAGTGTGAAGACTGTTACCCATGCTACACCATGCTTCCAGACAAAATTTCATTTATTTGTAATTAGAAATAAATAGTTCACAAAATATAATGACATATTGTTTTGTGATTGATCACTATGCATTGATTATGTTCAATTTGTAACAATGAAAATACATCCTGTGATTCATAATGGTAGCAAAATTACAGTTATGAAGTAGCAACGAAAATAATTTTATGGTTGGGGGGGTCACCACAACATGAGGAACTGTATTAAAGGGTTGTGGCATTAGGAAGGTTGAGAACCCCTGGATTAGAGCATATAAATCACAGAATATGGCTTTCTTGTTTAAAGTCTTAAAAGTAGAATTAACTTAAAATGCTTAAGAGTCTACCAGGCCTTAAGGTGCTCTGGTTGCACTGTAGGTTAGGCGTTGGGCTACTAACCCTCAAGTCTGTGGTTCAAACCCACCAGCTGCTTCAAGGGAGAAAGATGAGGCAATCTGTCCTTAAAGATTTAGTCTCAGAAACCCTGTACTATAAGGTTTTTCCCCCTCCTCCTTGAGTTTCAGCTTAAAGGCCCCTCACAGAGTGTCTCCTTCCCTGATCTCTCTGAGAAAAATAGCCACCTTCTCCCCAAATCTGCTCTGATGTAGTGGTTTTCAAAGCAGATGATGTATGTGCACCGTTTAAAATAAAACACACAACATTGCCTTTGAGGCACTTCTGACTCATGGCAGAAGTGGATGAAATGAAAATATTTTAAAATCTTTTTATATCAGAAGTAAAAGTTGAAACTTTACATCTTAGCCCACAATTGACTCTGGCAGTTTTCATTCAATGCACACAGGAGTTCACGTGTCATCTGCTGATCTCCTCAAGGCAAAGTGACACTCCCACAACTGGGAAAGGTTGAAAATGATAAGAAAACAAATGATAAGTTGTTAAATTGAAACCTAACTATATCTGTAGTGATCCACTTTCCATTTCACTCTGCCTGAGGACAAGACCATTCACATCTCTAGACAATGGTCTGAGAGAGTTCAATGGAGGCTCAATCTGTGTGGGAACGCTGCACATGGGTTTGGGCCTCTCACTGTTATCCATAGCTCTTAGCACACTGGGTGCTCAAAATTTAGGCTTCAATGCAATTCCCTTCTCTGATCTTGAATTGGTATCACACAGATTGCTTCTTCCATATGGACTTAGCTGGCACCTCAATTAGATAGCTGCTTGGTTTAGGCAAAGATGTTAAGGTTCCAGATGCTATTCTTTCTGATAGAAGATAAGAAACCAACTGATTTCATTACTACACTTTGCTATAGTACCGTTATCTTCAGTGATCCATTTATGAGGGTAAGTATCTAGCTGGGCCGCATCATTAAAAATAATTGTTCTTAGTTTAGGGATTATGGTTAAATGCAAGCTCAAAATCCATCCATATATCTAAGTTTGTTTTTTTAAATCATTTTATTAGGGGCTCATACAACTCTTATCACAATCCATACATACATCAGTTGTGTAAAGCACATTTGTACATTCATTGCCCTCATCATTCTCAAAACATTTGCTCTCCACACATCTAAGGTTTATATATATCCCTGATTGTGTTAGTCGGGGTATACTAGAGAAACAAATTCATGGACACACTCATATGTGTGTAGGAAAGAGCTTTATATACAAGAGTAATTGAACATTAAGAAAACATCCCAGCCTAGTCCAGACCAAGTCCATAAGTCTGATATTAATCTATATGTCCGATACCAATCTATAAAGTCCTCTTCAGATTCATGAAACACTTGCAATAATGCTTAATGCAGAAAGATCACAGGCCAGTGGGTTGGAAGTCTTGTGGATCCAGTGGCGTTGTAAGCATCTCAGCACTGCAGGGGTCTCCACGTGTCTCCTCCAGGTCCAGGGCTCTTGCTGCCATCAGCATAGCGTCATGTGTCTTGTCAGTAGAGAATCTCTCAGGGAGTGAGGAGAGAGAGAGAGAATCTTCCACCTCCAAGGAGGAATACAGGAGTTCTCAGAATCCACAGAGGCCTCATTGGCTATATCCTGAGTGACAGGCTAGACACTCTGAATCCTCAAATTGACACCAGAATATGTAACTGCCTCACTACTCCACTTTAGTGTCAACATTATCAGCTTTTTGAGAGAAAATATAAGTAATCTCCATGAAGCCTTTGGTGATTCTACTAATAGCTTCATTAAACTAGCCAATGATATAGAATTTGAAATACTATTGCCATTGAGTTGATTTTGACTTATAACGACCCTATAGGATAGGGTGGAATTGCTTCTGTGGGTTTCTGAGACTATATTCTTTTTTTGTCATTTTATTGGGGGCTCATACAATTCTTATCACAATTCATACGTACATCCATTGTGTCAAGCACATATGTACATTTGTTG